AAAGAAAGACGAAGAAAAAAATTATACCTTATTAACCACGCCTAGAGTTGTAAACGAACCGAACGTTCGCGAACAAAAGCTCGTTCGAGCTTGTTCGTGTTCGACAAAAGCTCGTTCGTTTGTTAATCGAGCCGAGTTCGAACAAAAAATTAGGCTCGTTTAATAATCGAACGAACACGAGCTCGTTCGTGAACGTTCGATTATGTTCGCGAACTTAATTCAATGTGATTTTATTTTATTTTTTATATATTTACATAATATTTTTAATAAAATATATATAATTTAATATAATTTTATTTATTTTTTATATTTACATAACATTTTTAATGAAAAATTTAAAATATAAAAATATTTTTATTTTATTCTTTTATTTTCGAGTTCGAACGAACAAATTTTGAGTTAATCAAACATATTTAAAAAGTTTAAATATTAAATTATTCGAACACGAACAAACTCGAACTTTGACGAACAATTAAACAAACGAATTGGAACATGATTTTTGATCGAAAAATAAACAAACGAACACGAACATTTTTCGAACGTAAACGAACACGAGCTCGAACAGCCTAAGCTCGATTCGGTCCGGTTCGTTTACACCACTAACCACGTCTACAATAGGAATGATATTAATTAATACATAATTAATACTCTTAAAAAAGACCATAAATATTCAGTATATATTTATGGATATTCCAGACCTAGTTATTTTTCGATTGAAAATAAATTAAAATTCATTCAAGCCAAACAACAAAGCTTAAAAAACTTGCCACATAGGATCTCGAAACGTGCGAACCTGCAACATATACTCGGCATATTGGAGAATTATATATAGGGAAGATACGACATTGAAAAGATAAGTTGACCGGTTATCCATGAACCACCATGGAAATTATTTGCTCTAAAATGAGATAAAAGCTTACATAATATATATATTTTACAAATTCCAATATTATCAAACTAATTAATAATTTGTCAAAACCCAATTGAAAATCATGAAAAATTGTAATTGGTGTACATTTTCTCGGCAAAAGTTATGATTAGATGGGGAAAATGATTTATGAAGAAACTAGAGTACCAACAGTATCCTATTTTATGTATAATTGAGTGAGTGTGCAATGTGATTTGATGTGAACATAGGCACGGACTCGTCAAAGCATATGTGGTTAACATGAAAGAAGACAGGCCCTAAATTTTTAGTTGGTAAAACTTCTTTTTCCACACAAATTTAATGTATATCTTCCTAAGTGGTAATGTGGTGTGTGGACGGCTGTTCCCAGTAGACGCGATTATTGACCTGTCTGAAAAAAGGAGCCTACAAATTCAAATCCAGATTCCAAAGACATATATCTTCCATATGACACTGCAAATTTTGTACTCGCACCCAATCACCTCTCCACTAAATGGAACCTCAACTGCCATGCCATTGTGTCCTAATGACATGAATCATTATTGTTTGTTTCTTCTCTTCTTCTTTTAAGAATAAGAATAATATTAACTCTTTAGACAACTCTATCGTTTTGGAAAAAGNAATAATAGATCAAATCGATATTCGGTTTGTAACGTGGGTCATTGTTTTTATTGGAGTTTTAATTCTGAATTTGTACACGAAAAACCGTTCATCACTACATATAATTCTATAAAATTCACCTATTGATATGATTATGATACCATTTAACTACAGCACCTCAAGGCCAATTCAACAGCAACATAGCCAATGTGGGGCAAGGAACTGGTTCCAACCTCAGTTCTAACATGAATGATCTCACATCAGAGAACTTTTGGTACCCTGATTCAGGGGCAAACAGCCATCTCACCTATGATTTTCACAATCTCAACATTGGGACAGACTATCAAGGTTCAGAAAAGGTTCACATGGGCAATGATGCAGGTTTGTTTATTTCTCATTATGGTAATTCACTAGTTAGTCCTGTTAATTCCAATCCAAATAAACCCACATATCTCCTAAAAAATCTTCTTCATGTCCCTCACATTAAAAAGAACCTCCTCAGTGTATCCCAATTTGCCAAAGACAATGGAGTTTTCTTTGAATTTTATCCCACTTATTGTGTTGTGAAGGATCTTCAGTCAAAGGAAGTTCTACTCCAAGGGACAGTTGAAGATGGGCTCTACAATGTCAAGTTATCTAAGCTAAGGAAGTCTGCTCAGGACAACAAGAAGACTTTTACTGCTTTCAATAAAAGGGCCATTTGGGTGAATTCTGCTGAACATAGACTAGGCATTGGTGTTTGGCATGATAGGTTAGGCCATGCTTCTATGGATATTGTAAAGAAGGCACTAGATAGTTGTGGCATTGGATATGATAGTTCTCAGGCTGAAACTGTTTGTCAAGCTTGTATGCAATCCAAAAGTCATAAACTTTTCTTCACTGATTCTGAAATGAAATCTCTTGATATTCTTGAGCTTATACATTCTGATTTGTAGGGACCAGCTCCTGTTCAGTCATTCAATGGTTACAAATATTATGTTACATTCATTGACCATGCTAGTAGATACACTTGGATATATTTACTCAAGTTGAAATCTGAAGTTCCTAGTGTATTCTGTCATTTTAAGAATCTTGTTGAGAACCATCTTGGAAAGAGGATTAAATGTTTACAAAGTGATGAAGGCACAAAGTATAAGCCATTGAAGGATCTTCTTGATCAAAATGGTATCATTCATAGAAGATCTTGGCCTTACACCCCAGAACATAATGGCTTAGCTGAAAGAAAGCACAAGCACATTGTCCAAGTTGGTCTTTCCTTGCTACCCAAATCCTATCTTCCTCAGAAGCACTGGGATGATGCCTTTGTTACTGGTGTGTTTCATATCAATAGAACTCCCTCAAAGGTCATTCACTATAAGTCACCTTTTGAAGTTCTCACCAAAAAGCAGCCTGACTAAAAATCCTTAAAAACCTTTGGTTGTTTGTGTTATCCCTATCTTCGACCTTACACAAACCATAAACTTGAGTTCAGATCTTTTAAAGGTGTATTTCTTGGCTACAGTCCATATCATAAAGGTTACAAGGTCTTATTACCTAACCACAAAGTCATTGTCACTAGACATCTTGTTTTTTATGAGCATCACTTCCCTTATTCTGCCTCCACCACCACTGATGTTTCTAGTTCTTCCTCTCTTTCTAACTCATTCACAATCCCTTCACCTCCAATAATTCCAATCCCCCCTACCATACCTACACCATTCCCCTCACAATCTATTGACTCTCAGCCACCTGCTTCTCATGATTCTCAATAATCATCCCCAATTCCTATCCATTCTATAGGACAACTATTTGTGAATTTACCTATTGAGAATGTTACAAACTCCACTAACATGTCCTCTGAGCATGACTTTGCAGGTTCTCCATCAACATGAGATCAAATTCCCACTCAATCCAAACACCACATGGTCACAAGGGCAAAAGATGGCATTTACAAGCCTAAAGTCTATACAGCCTCTTACTCCTTTCTTGATACTGCTGAACCTTCAAATTATGTGGAAGCTTTAGCTCATCCATCATGGAATGCTGCCATGTAAAGAGAGCATACTGCATTGCTCAAAAATCACACTTGGACATTGACATCACTGCCAGCAGATAAGTCTCTTATTGATTGCAAATGGGTTTTCAAGCTCAAAAAGCATGCTGAATTATTGGGACTATAGCAAAGTATAAAGCCATGTTAGTTACTAAGGGCTTTACTCAAATTCCTGGTTTTGACTACACTGACACTTTCAACCCACTCATCAAGCCTGTTTCTATCAGACTCATATTATCCATTGCTCTCACCTTAAATTGGTCCATCAGACAGTTAGATGTTGACAATGCATTCCTCAATGGTGATGTTGAAACTGATTTGTATATGGCTCAACCACCAGGATTTGAGCAAAGGGGAGATTTGGTATGTAAGCTGCACAAATCCTTATATGGTCTTAAGCAAGCTTCTAGAGCTTGGACCTCTAAATTTGCTTCTGCCTTACATGAATTAGGCTTTATTACATCAAAATCTGATTCATCCTTGTACCTGAGACTTCATCATCATTCAACCATCTTTGTGTTGATCTATGTGGATGACATTATCATTACAGGCTTCCACAATTCAGAAAATCAACTCATCATTGACAAACTTAACTCTCTTTTCTCTCTTAAGGATTTAGGGAGGTTAAATCATTTCCTTGGTATTCAGTTCACACATACTTCAGAAGGAATGTTCTTGAGTCAGTAAACTTACATAGAAGAAATCTTGAAGAGGACTAACATGTTGTCAGCCAAAGGATTGAGTATTCCTATGATTTCAGGAAGTCAACTTTCAAAGTTTTAAGGGAAACCTGTTGAAGATGCCAGACTTTACAGAAGTATTGTAGGGGCTCTTCACTATGTCACCATCACCAGACCTGATATATGTTTATTGATAATCAAATGATATGATTTGATAAAGTCTATTTTATTTGAAAAACTTTGCATAATTAATGCACAATGATTAAATATATAATTAGTTACTATTTATTACACCAATTAATATCATAATAGGTTGAATTACATACATTAAATCCAAATTATCCCTAGAAATATATCCAGCCGCGCATACGCTCTACCTCGACTAAGCTAATCATGACTTTTTGGAGAGAGGAAGAATAAAAAAATAAAGAGAGTGAAAACAAGAGAAAACTGAGGACATGAGTCAGATGACAGCGGGATTTCTCCGTATATATATACACACGCACACATCTTTTCACATTGCTCATTATTATCATTATGCCTTCAACTATTATTTAATTAACCCATTTTTTCATTTTCTTCTCTTCTCACCCCACACTTTGACACTTCTTCTTTCTCAACCAAAAAAACAGAACAAAACAAACAAACCAACACTTTGGTTCGTTCCTCTAACTTAGCCACAGTCATGGTGTGTTCCTGCATTTTCCTTTCACAAAATCAACCCTTCATATTTAATATTACAACAATTTAATCAACTGAATTTTAATTAATAACATATATCATGCAAATGAAACAGAGGGAAGAAGATGGGGAGGCAGCGTACAACACTCTAAGGCTAAGCCCTTTCAAAATTGAAGGCAAAGGAGGATTCAGGGCTACTGCTTTCATATACGGTAAGCACTCGAATTTTTTTTTTTTTTTTTTTATATATTTTTATATTATATGCAATTGTGATAGTTTTAACTGGATTGGAGAACATGGGCGTGGTTGCAAATATGGTGAGCCTTGTGCTCTATTTCTCGTACAAGATGTATTTCGATCTGTCCACGTCAGCAAACACGCTGACTAATCTGCTCGGATCAACTTATCTGCTCTCTGTAGTTGGCGGCTTTATTTCCGACATTTACATCAGCAGGTTCAAGTGCTGTGTCATTTTTGCCTCCGTCGAAGTCTTGGTAATTTATTTATTTTTTTATTTAATTACACTTCTCCCCCTTTTTTTTCTTTGGAATTAGTTATTTCAATTTTCAATCAGCTACATTTCTGAAAATAAAAGTAATGTAAAAATATAGAACTTCCAATGAGAAAAGTTAAATAAAAAAAAAAAAGAAGGTTTTTTTAGTATGATAATTTAGATTTCTTTGTATCTAGCGGGCGAATGACTTTATCAGTAGTCCATCCTGAGTTGTTTTGTGTAGTAGCATGTGGCCATGTGGTCTGATCTGAAAAGCAATCAAAACAGACACAATCATTCTACCTCAAAACATTGCTCGTACATGTGTTGACACGTAAACACCTAATCACACAATAATTAATAATTAATACCCAAAAATTCATAAACATAAAAATTTAAGATTATACATATATAAACAATATTTTTTTCTTTTACACAAATTAATAAAATCCTTTTAAATGGTGCAGGCCCTGTCTATGATGGCAATTCAAGCCCACACGGCCCGATTGCTACCCGAACCATGTGGAAAATCGAGTTGTGTGAAAAATGGCGTGGCCGTGTATTTCTACTCGACAATGTGTTTGCTGGCGCTCGGGATTGGTGGGTTGAGGGGCTCGTTGCCCGCATTTGGTGCGGACCAATTTGACCCAAAGGACCCGAAAGAGGGAAAAGGGCTCGCGAGCTATTTCAATTGGCTGTTGCTGAGTTCGGTTACTGGTGGCTCAATTGGGGCTACGGTTGTTGTTTGGGTGGCGACAAATAAGAGTAATCAGAATTGGTGGAAAGGGTTTTTGATTGCGGCTGTCGGAACGTTTGTGGGTTTGGTGTTTCTTGTGGCCGGGAAGCCATTTTATAGGCTTCACGTCCCAAGAGATAGTCCTGTTACAAGAATCGTGCAGGTATGCATGAAAATAATGTGTGATTGTTTGAACGACAATGTTTGATGGCTATGTTTGGTAGACAAATAAGCTAGTTTATAACTTATTTGGTTAGCTTATAAGTTTCCTGTATTTAAATAAATTTCGTTTGGTAGGACAAGCTTTTTTTAAAAAGTTCGAGCTCATAAGTTTTTTTTAGTAGCTTTTCAAATAAGCTCGTTGAAATTTTTATTTAAGCTAGCTTATCAGCTATTTTACCAAACACTTTTATCATACAAACTAGTTTTTCAGTTATAAGTCATAAGATATAAACTATAAGCTCAAAAACTAATAAATTACCTATTCAAAAATTGAGTTCACTTTTGTTAATTTGATTATTGCATTTTTTTTTAATAGAGTTCACTTTTTTTAATTTGATTTTTGCCTTTTTTGTTTTGAGGGGATATGCAATTGGGTTTTGGAGTAGGGTCTGAATGTCAATTTTAGTTGTTAGAAACTTGAAAGTATGACAACTCCCTTTTTTTGGGTACTGGCTAATAGGAAATTGATTTGCTCTTTTATCTAATTTTGGTGTTTTTATATCTTGATTATTTATGCCTCAGGTTATTGTGGTGGCCCTGAAAAATGGGAGATTGCCTCATCCAGAGAGCCCAAGTGAGCTGTACGAGATGAACGAGAAAGATTTAGATCCAACTGCACAAAGAATCCCGCACACTCAACAATTCAGGTAGTATTTTATTCAACAGATCTTATCCCATATCAATCAACAAAGGAAAGATGCACTATTTATATAGTTATTCAAAGTTGGTTATATTACAAAGTTTGTTGCGTATTTAGCCTGGTCATACAAATCTGATTAACATAAAATTTAATAATTAACCTCAAATCCGATTTTCACCCAACATTCTATATTTGATTGACGATTTCACCTCCTTCAAAATTTCAAGATCTCT